AACGGAGCGTGCGCGAGCGCGCGGTCGGTCGCTTTTAAAAAAGTTACGACGAGGTTTATGGAGGTTTAATTGTAGCCCGCGACTGTGGTTAGAAAGTAGTAAAACTCCTTTTGCCAGTGATGCCGGGTCTGTTACACTACTTAACGCTCCCTAGTTCTTGGTTATGTACGAAGAAGGACGATGATGAGGAAGAGAAGCGGTGTTCGCGGCGGCTCACGCACTTTGGCGCTGCTAATTGTTGCTTTGTCTCGGGAATTGCGGCTCGGTTCTCAGAGAATAAGGCCGACCCATCAAGGTCAAAGATATCGCCTCGACGATTTCGCTAATGTGATCGTTGGTTAATATCGATAATTTCGGCGTACTGTGGTGTCAGCACAAACGTATCATTAATGAACTGTGCATGTCAATAGCAATTAGGTCACTTATAATGACTGTACACGTTGCGGCAGATGCGGTAGCGAAGTCAGAATATATGATAGGTTGCAGCCAACGAAAGTATAATTTCACTAATTTCGCAGAAATATTCTTACCGTTTGGGGAAACTGTAATACTTATGAAAAGAGGCATTTTTCAATAAAGGTCACCATCATAAATTTATTTATTCACGACTGTGTGGGATTTTATTATCGAGCTTCTATAGAAATTTTGTAATACCGCGTAGGAAAGAAATACAACAAATAACGAGGAAAATATTCGTTGTAGAAAGTCCTGTTACAAGAACGAGGATACCTTTACAACGTTTTACGTACACGCGTTGTTTTGAGTACGTAAGAGTATGGTGCAAACGTTACATAGAAATTCCACGGAACATTTACCCGTTTACCATTTTATTTACTGTGCATTATATTTATTTACTGTATTCTATACAGCATCTCGGCAAACCGTTATATACGTAAATGAAAATTATCACTGACACGGCTTATTAAAGCGCGCATATTCTTACCCTTCGGAATTGCGAAGAGTATAATATACGCTCCAAAATTATAGCTCACAGTGGATGCTTATATTCGCGGCGACATGCCATGCAGACCATGACATGGCGTCGTTTCCTCGTAACGTGTTTCCAGCAGATTTTCTGTCTTCGTAGCCATAAAAGTTTCCGCTCGCGCAGATTTAAATAATGAGTGGCAGATTTACGTCTTACGTAAAATTAATCATGCAAAAAATTTAATGCTGTCATTTTGTTGCGATTAACAACTAGCATCGGGACAAAAATTAGTCGTAAATTTTCTGTAAATTTCCATCAAATCGCTTTAATAGAGGGAAAGAGAAGAGCTATGAATAATATATAAATTTCACTTATTCATCAACCAGACTCAAATTTAATGAACCGGGAAAGCAACACTGCGATTTCACTCCACAATTATGATTATCCGAAAATAGATCCACGGGTTTTAATTAGAACATCGACATTTCGCGAGGCATGAGACTACTTCGACTTCACTGTAACGTCTGTCACATAAACTCTGGTAGTTTACTGCGTCCAGAGTAAAATAAGCGGAAGACTGGGGTGCGCTTTGCTTACGGCTTTGCAATGGGGAACGTAGAAGGGGTTTTAAGGGGAACAAGAAGGCAACGACGACGATGACGAGGTAGGAGGAGAAGCACCGTAGAAGAAGAAGGAGAAAAAATATCCACCGAGCTGTAAAGCGAACCGCGTTTACGACCGTCGTTAAGGCCACTCTGAGCGACCTGTCTGATTACATTGATGCTGCTTGCTGCAAAGCGGGACTAATCCTTCCGACGTTTCGCCGAACGCTCACTGTAACTATTAGAAGCGATCACGAGTCTTTCTGGCACATGCGACATTAAATCGGCGACGATCGACTTTTTTTGTGCCGACAAACCGAGAGAGGAGTTTTAACGTATGTAATAGCTCTAATGAGTCTGCCGCACGCAAGGCTAGCCGAGAATACTTCGCCGAATCGATTCGCAATACAATATAGAAAAAACATCAAAAGAAATTATATAGTGCATCACACGCGTGATTATGTTTCCTCATATGTGCAAAAAGAGACATCGAAATGCGACATCGTATCTGTCACACCATAATTTGTGTTGCGAAAAACTTGAAAAAGATAATAACCAACAGAAATATCATCCGAGGCACATGGACTTTGCTACCATCACTTATCGCTTACGTTGAAAAAAGGGGGAACATGTATACATGTATACATATATATATATATATATTTTATACATACATAAAACCATACACGCGATCTGGAAATGATATTTAAAACACGTATTTGTAAGGAAATATTATATATATATATACATTACAGGGGTATAAACAAAGAATCACAGGCGCGATATTATACCTGCCGGATTGCATCGTTCGGTCCACAATCGTCGGAGAGCCGAGCGTCCGACGGAGAGACCGACTAATTTTCAACAACCTTAATCACGGGCCGCAAGCAATCAGTATCCGAGATAGCCGACAATCCTCGCCGACGTTTTAATTATCGCTTCCATTTTCATATCGCGGAATATCGCCGCACGCCGTTTAGTTGTGCATTTTTAGGTCTTTTTTTACGACCATCCTTGCGCCGCGACGTTGATGCCCCCTCGATTTGAACGACGGATCGCATGCACCTGATAAATCTCCCCCTGCCCTTCAACGGTGTATATATATATTCTAGCGTATCAACTGTTAGATCATTCGTATGATAAGAGCAACTGGTTATTGAGTCGCTCCAGAATTTCAGACGCGTACGTTTACGTCAGTGATATTCATACGATAAATGTTTAAGTATCAACTACTACCGTACAATAAATTGAGACGTTCGCATACGTGAATAACAAGATGAAACTGCATTTCAATGAACTGCCCGTCATGACAACAATGAAGACTGCGATTTACAGAAACATACCACAAATGCAACCATATATTATTACGAAGCAACTTAATTTCTTCTCAATTTAGACATATAGCATCGAAGAATATATATGTATAGAGTATCATGTGGTGAAACTATCGATATTGATTATTTAAGAGCATTCAAAGCAAATAAAAATTGTCCAAACGCTAGAGTATCCGGCCGGAAATTATTAGAGCATTCGAGTAATAGATATGAACTCAGATAATGCCTATAAACTCGTATAGATGTCCAATGCAAAAACTACTAATCTCTATTAATATTAATCTAAATATAAGAACATGCTTAAGACGGGATATCAATGATATTAATACAATCTTAGATATTTCATGACTACCTTCTCAACTTTTTATGGTGGTACCACTCGCGCCCTTGTATTTTCATGTCATAGCATGTGTTCTTATGTGACCACATTAACACGCCACTTCCGTTAGCCAACTCTTTGTAAATGTTAAAAGGAGAAAATAAAACGTTGTATTTGTGACGTATCTTACTTCAAAGAGCCCCCTTCTTTAATTAAATTTATTCTTCTTTCCCTTTGCATCATTGCATACACATTTTCTGTGGATGTATCAAACAATGCTGACGTGAGAAAATCATGAACGAGAATGTATTAATTCTTTTCATCTTTAAATAGAGATTCGTTGTAATTTGTGAATAACAAATTTATCTTTCAATAAATTTTGTAGAAGAGTAATATAATATTAAAAATTTCTTTATATCTTTGTTGTTGTTTTCAGCAAATATGAAGACAAACTGTTAATCAATATAATTCTATAAACTAGTATAATGAAAAAAAACAGTAACACAAATATACAAAAACTCACATAATAATTTTCATTTGAAATCACGAGTTTCAGTTTTTATTTATAATTTAATTTTTTTGCTAGATAAATGTTATGATCAGTCGTGTAGTTTTATAAGAATACGCACACTCATACGCAGTTATTTTAAGTTTATATCTAAATATGTAAATAACATGCAAGAATCTCAGAAATGCATCAGTAATTAATCAAGATTTGTTACAATCTCCGTACAACGCCAGCAAATATATGAGAGCGAATTAAATGTAAATACCGTAAACAGCTTATCTTTAAAGCAATGTGCGTAATCCCTGTTAACTGACTGGCATTGGGCTCGAGTTCTGCTTTCTCATGTACAGCAAAGCTGTTTTCTCCAAATCGTCCAATGAAAACGGATAACCGAGTATCATCGTGAACAAGAATGGGACGGAGAAAACTGGTCGCAGCACTCGTAAATTCGATTCTTTATAGTGTTTTGCCACCGTTAAAGCCGAGAAGGTGGGATCGCAGACGCATCTTTGAGTTCCTGCACGCTTTATGCATGCTTGAGCGGCTGCTTTGATGAAATTAAACGCAAAATCGATACGAATGAAAATTTCTTTGTAAAAAAACATAATATAAAAGCCTGTGGTTTACTATTCTACTATTCCTCTACGCGATACAATTTGATGCAATTCGATCTTGACTGCTTTTATAAATCGCTCACAATCGGTACTATTATAAACTACTGTAAATCTATAATTATAATTTCTGACAGATCAATGGATTTGATGTTTGATAATATTACGCAACGATTATACCAGCGTGACAAATAAAAAAAAAGATCGCTTTTAATAATTGAAAATGCTCAAAGTTGGGAATTTAGGAGAAATTGGGAATAGGAGAAAAAAAAATTCGATGATAAAGAAACAAGTAAAAGAGGTGGGGCAGCGGAGGAACATGAGCGGCTAAAGGAGCGTCAGAAGGATGAGTAACCGTTTGCCGGTCTAAACACCGCGGTCTGCTTGACTCTCGGAAGGAAGGAATTTTATAGCTTAGAATCTGTTTTATGTGCGCCGGATTTGCGATTACGACCCGGACTTTCAACGATCCAAACAAAGGAAGAGCACCAGGAATAATGGAGACCGCGATTTATGTTCTAAACCGAAAACTAATCCTTTCCTCTACCTTACATCATTTCATCTGCCGTTTTGCATGCCACAGTCAAGTAAGATTGTGAGATATACAATTTCTGTGTATTTAAATATTCGATACGTAAACGACGCATAGCTTATTATAAGAAGACAACAAATAAAATAAGACAACGGAGTAAACTTACCAATAATATGTAGAAGATTCGGTAGAAGAGTCGGTAGAAGGATCAGCAGAAAGTTCAGTAGAAGGTTCAACAGAAGGATCAGTAAAAGGTTTAGTAGATCGTTCAGGAAACGGTTCAATAGAGGGTTTAAGTAAACTTTCGGATAAAGAAGACGTACTTGTCGGAAACATTGATAGGGAGGTGGAGGGCCAAAATGGTAAATTGTGGAATGGATACTCTGGTGATCTTATTCCCTCGTCTGTTCTCAGGACCGTCGGTGGCGAGAAATACCAGCATGCCGCCTGTTGACATGTCATCTGATTGACAACGATTGGCATTCGATCTTCATGAATGACTGGAAAGACGAAAAAAGAATAATTTCATTCATTAGTAATTTTATTCGCTATGATGATAAAATTAGTCACTTAAAATTAATACAAACCGTGCATCCTACATGTAGTTGCTTCGCAACGTGTGATAACTAGATTTCTACAGGTATCGAAGTACATACAGTTGAACAGCTTGCTAATTACTTTAGCTGCTGGGTTCAATCGAATTTGAAAGACTATATAATTCCAGAATCTTAAATACAATACTGAATGCAAATAATTCCTTTCAAGATATTGTAGCAATATTCGAAATTTTGTAATTAAATCATACTTCCATCAAATGTATACTTATAGAATTTATTTCTTCTAAAAGTATCGATCTGTCTTTCTGGCAAGGCATATTTCTCTCAGCGCGCATAAACCTCTCTAGTTCAACAATTGCCTTTTGTGCTTTCATTGCTTAATTGGTGGAATATAAGTTCAATTGTTGCCACTCCCGCTAAAAATATCAATCACTGAGCCCTCTTCTTTCTTTCTCGAAACGGCTTTTATGCTTCTTTCGTGGCATAAAGTTAGGCATTATAAGCGACCTAAATTAATTGCCTCTCTGATTGCTGGGATACGCCTCATACACTCAACTGGACTAATTTATAGCCATCAAAACGATATCACGTATCTACATTTTATTTTAAAAGTTCTTGCTTCGCGTCTTCGCATGAATTTCAAAGTTGACACTAATGTAGCTGTCTCGAGGCTTATCTACACTGAGAAAAATTTTCATCGAATAAACCAATTAAATAGTGTTTTCGATGACTAATTTTTCCGATTAAATTATGAATACATCCGATAAAATTTACCCGATGAAATGCAGTGACCGATAAAATTTGATTGAAAAACCGATCACATTTTTCATTGGATATACAATTTAATCGGCTATATCCGTTTGTTATTGTGTAATTGGATTATCCGATTATATTTAATCGGACATTTTTCTCAGTGTAAAGTTTAATATTTTGAAATCAATCAACTTAAAATAAAAATCAAGACCCAAAGAAAAGAAGAATTATCGCTCGTAAAGAAAAATCGTCGATCTATAGCACGTTATATTTTTGTCCTCTAATTTAAGACATAAATTTCGTATGATTTAGATGTAATAAATTATACGTCAAGTTACTTAATTGCGACAGACTCTTGTCCAGCGTGCATGCTCATTACGCACTTGGAAATTACCCCGGTAAGTTATACGCAAGATTACAGAATTTATTATACGCTGGAAGAATATGCGACAGTTTCAATTCGCAAAGCGATAGTACTCTTACTTAGAGCCAATAATTGCCGGTTCAACATGTTGCGAGCGACGTTGCTTGATTGCGGGGATGTACCCTCGCCGATTCTTGATGCAGGCAGATTTATAACGCATCTATCACACGTCGTAACTTTCGAGGCTGCATCTGCATACTTATTTTAGCTCATGTTCAGCTCTTCTCCGAGAAAGGTTCGATGCTTCTGATGTTTAAAAACGCAAATTTATGATACATCATTGATTCCGTCTATCATTACTACCCTCGCCGCAATAATCGCAGTTTAACTGTAAATTTTTAACTTACACCATCGTAAATCTCCAACTAAGAAATTACTTTACAAAATTTCAATTGCGTAACACATTCGTTAACACATTCGATATAAATATAGTAGCAACACGTGCTTGTGAGAAAAAATACAACGGGCAAAAAACAGCGGTACCTATATTTAATACTTCTGGAACCGAATAAAACAAGACAATGAAGTCTAAATATGACGATCTTTTCTTTCTTCTTCGTGTTTGATAAAGAAGGAAGAATGCGTGTAATAGATACACGTAAAATCTTTATTTTGTCCAGTGCCGATTTAGATCTGTCGATGATTACATATGACAGTCACGCTTCGGGCAACAATTTTCATAGCGGTGACGTCTTGGTGTTTTGCACCGAATGCACGTCCGAAACATTATCGGCCACTCTAATATTTATGCCGTGCACCCCGGGCAAGCGGTGCGGTTATCAACAAACTGCGCTCGCGTGGAGACCGTATTCGCAAGATTTATTATGGGTCTCCGTTCTCCAAGTACCTTTACTCCCGTCAAGGAGGACTACGTTAGCCGTAAGAGAGAAGAAACTTTCCAAGACACATGTCCGTGCAGATATCGTTCGTGTAGTTATCAACACGCGTGCAAGAATGATAACTCGATATCGAACGATATACATACGATGTACATTAAAAGGTACATTTATTATGAAGAATAAAAGACGTTAAATCTTGCAATAACAATAAAAACCGGTTTATTAAAACGCAACGGAGTTTATTAATTACTGAAAGTATAATGTTTCTCTTTAGCATGAATGTTATTTTTTCTTTCTTGCTCTGTGCGCACTTGCTGCCAAACTACAATCATTTAAATACCGAATGGTAAGTATTTTTACACATTATAAGTTATATTATTAATATCAGAGTAGGGAAAGCTTAGAGCTTAGAATTTCTATAAATAAGATAATATAAAAAAAATACATCTGGAATTGAGTTTTATTCGTTACAGTCAATTAAGTGCAAAAGTGCATTTGCAACAGATTTAACTACGAGAGATTTCTCACCGAAGCAATCGTTCAACGTTATCAATTAAAGATATTAACGCGTTCTTTGATATTGCATGGGAGTTGTGAGACCAGAGAAGACGCGAGCAAGTTGGCGACCTTTCGGACACGACGCTACTCGATATAGGAATGATTTATTCCAGATGCAATCTGGAAGATGAATCCAAGCAACATAGAGAATACTCGTAAGTCAGCCGTAAAAATATTGCTTGCCTCGTAAATTACATCCAACAGCATAGCCTTGCGTACACGCTCGTTTCACCCGATCCTTTCGCCACGAAAGGTGTCCGCAATCGCATGTTTTTTAGCGCCACATTCTCGCTTGTAAACACCGATACGTGAACAACAAAATGGCGTTTGGGAAAAACGGCTTTACGCAATTTATAACATTTGTGTTTTATAGAATGAAATAAAAATAATTAGATTAAAGAAGGATTTACAAAACGCCATCAATTATTAAGTCCAAACTCACTGTGTAAAGTCGGAAAGGCTAGATCGAAAACAGAGTAATAATTGGTATAAGCAGAAAACAATGTATAAGGGAGTAACTTCAACCTCGCGATAGATATTAGGGTAACAGAGTATTATCGGATCAAACGTGCTCAGAAATAGGATTCGCAGCTGCGTGTTCGCTTTACTTAATTGCCATAACTTCCGGTCGCTTTAGAATTACGTGACGTCATCTACATCCGTCGCGGGTTGAAGTGACGCCAAATATAAAGCTTGGGAAACTCATGGAACCGCAATTTGCTCTTAATTTTTATTGCTTATTGATATCGTTGCGTATTTTAATTGAGGCTTAGCTTCGTGCAGATTACAAGTGCAGATCAATCGATAGCGGTTCAAACAACTTTTGTCACACTTTACCATACTTAAGTGTGATAGTAAGCGAGAATAGTCATGTAAATAACATGTAGAAAATCAAATTTACTCATTACTTAAAATTTTGTTTTTCTCTTTCAATTTCTTCGTATCCTCAATGTAGAGAACAAATTCATCGACATCTTTCACGACTGATGGTGCGTTTGCAAGCGCAGATGAAATTTCTGTGTACTTATCAATCGTCTGTACCTGCCGTTATAGCGTAATATCTCCAAGTAGCGCATCATTTTAAAGATCTTTCTTTTTTCACTCTTTAACTTGACCTCTGCAATTTAGCCATGATAAACTGTGCGTAAATCAGCGAACAGCTTACGGAACACATGCATTCTTCCCGCATTGAGATTACCGGTTTTCTCGATGGCGATGTTGTTATCCTTCCTGAAGTCATCTATTGCATACTTGCGCATGTGCGCAATTTATTAAAATACTATTATTTGCGAAGAAAATATACCGTCTGAATATAAGATATACAACCCTCGGTAGTTGTACCGTTCCGGCCGCTAGCTTAATTCATATTAATTGGTATCTAGAGCAGCCAGGATTAATTAGTAATAAATTATAGATTCTTAAAGGAAATGCGCAGCGGTGAGTACGCAAATGCTCCCACATAAATTTTTCAGAACAGTTTACGATTATAAAGTAAAATGGTTTAACGTAGGGAATAATTTTCATATTATTTAATGAATAGATTATGAAAATACTTTTTGCTTTACACATCGAAGTCTTGCCTATAAATCCAAATGCCTTTAAAAGTCAATTAGTGGATTATCACTGAAAACAGTGAATATTCACTGATTCACAGTTATAAGTATAGCATTGCAATATTCATTGATAATGCACTGATTGACTTTTAGAGAGCATATTTTTGGTATAAACCGTGTATTAAATGCTATAATGTTATTCGTTCTGTTGCATCTTGACGCTTTTTGTGTACGCTTCTTCTTCTTCAAGGTAGGTACATTTAAAACTCAATTCTTGATTTTTTCAATATACCGAAATAATATTGCTAATGTTTAACGTTACGCGCTTTCCGGATCGTAGTGAAGCGTACACAAAAAAACGGCATCAAGATGTAACGGAACGGATTAAGTAGCAAGACAGAGTAAAACGAGGAGAAGTCAGCATCCTGAGCACATAACCCTCATGTCCGTTGAGAGTGAACGGCTATGTGTGATGCAAAAGTTGTAATATTATTTGAAAGTCTTTCAAAGTTGAGGCGATTCGAACGGCCGGTTTTACGATGGAGCACTGACGTCGCACAATGCCGGCCCTAGTGGTTTTACATATCGTAAAATGCGTGCACGCGCGAGCTAAGGAGCGCATATAAATCGGCTTGCCTGCTGTTATGTCTCCCGCGTGCAAAAGGTCGTTTACCATTTTATGCTCTCGGAGCCTTTAAGTCCGGCACCGGTTCCCCTCGCTTCTTTTTTCCTCTTGACCACCCGAGTTTTTATTTCGAATTTTTCTTTTAGGAAAACATCGCCGAACAAAAGTCGCTAAAGTCGCAATTAAAAGGC